CTCCGCATGTAGTGGGGAAATAGTAGCCCTAACATTGCGTGCTCCCATCAAACCGTCATAACCTGCCAAAGTACTATGCCAACCTTGTCCGGAGAAGATTTCACCCTCCTTCCAAGACCCATCTACAAAGCACCAACGACCAGGTATCCTTGGGATGGTTGAGACCTCTACATGTTGGTCTGTTTTGTGATATTTCAAGGTCTGCGCTTCTGTCCAAAGTGTTGATTCCGTTTCTGCAACTATAAGTGTTTCTCGAGGTTCTATATCAATGTTACTGAAAACCTTATTATTCCTTGCTTTCCATAAGTACCATAGGATCCAGGCAAAATAGTGGTTTTCCATTGCTGGAATGACTCTCCAAAATAAATGATCCATGTTTGTGAAAAGCGAACCAGTGGGAAAAATCACCCGGTTCAAATGGATCTTTGAGAGTGCCCAAACTTGACGAGCCGGAGGGCATTCAAAAAAGACATGGTTTATCGTTTCCTCTGGAGCACCACAGCGATTGCAGCAAATATCCCCTTGTAATCCTCGCGCTTTCAAATTTTTCCTAACTGCTATGCACCCCGAAACCAATTGCCATAAAAAATGTTTCATTTTTGGTGGGCAGCGAATTTTCCAGCAATGTGCTTTCAAACTGTCCACTGTGGGTCCTAGCATTATAGGTTGTTTTTCCCTGTCAGGATAGACCCGCTCAATTTGATATCCTGATTTGACCGTGTATTTTCCATTCTTAGTGAAATGCCATCCATCCCTATCTCCCATAGGAGTCCTACTCAAGGGTAAACTCTCAATAATTTTTGCATCCTGAGGATCCACCAACATCCGGACAACCTGTAGATTCCAAGTTCGCGAAGTTGAGTCAATGAGGGAATCAACTTTAAGATCAGGGTAACTGTTATGATGATTTTTATTTGCTGGTCTCGGGCGAGTGGATGGGATCCAGGGATCGTTCCATACAGATATAGAAGACCCTGAACCCACCCTCTTAATTAGTCCTTTGCTAACCAGAGATCTAGCAGAAACAATACTCCTCCAACCATAGGACGGGGAGTATGATCGGATCGGTTCCAGGGGTGAAGCATTCCTGTAATACCGTCCTTTAAAAACTCGAGAAAACAAGGTATTTGGTTTCTCTATTAACCGCCATAGCTGCTTGCCTAACATGGCGGTATTAAAGTCCGTGAGATCTTTAAACCCTAAACCACCTTGTTCTTTTTCTAGACATAGTTTATCCCATGATTTCCAATGTAAACCTTTCGTATGACCCCCTGGACTCCACCAGAATTGTGCTATTGCGCTCGTGAGCTTCTTTGTAGTTGCCTTTGGTAACCGATAGCAAGACATGACATGGTTCGGTAATGCTGTGATCACTGATTTAGTAATCACCTCCTTCCCTCCCTTCGTAAAGAACTTGAAAGTCCAGCCATTGACCCTATTATTCAAACGATCCTGAACGAACCCAAAAACTTGTATTTTTGAACCTCCTATATTTTCAGGTAAGCCCAAATAGGATCCCATTCCTCCTAAATTTTGAATTCCCAGTATATCACGAAGTTCCTGACGGCTGGATTCTGCAATTTTATGCCCAAACTGGATGGACGATTTCTGGAAATTTATTAATTGTCCTGAAACAGCCTCGTATTCCTTAAGTATCCTAAGAATGATTTGACACTCTTCTGGTTGCGCTTCAGTGACATTCTCAAAATCCTCTGTATTCTCCATGTCAATTCCCTTCTCCAAACAAGCTGCTCTGATCTCATCCCAATTCATGACACGATCATCTGATTCTCCCTCACGTTCTGCCACAAGTTCCTGCACTTCCTGTAACCCCTCCTCCATATCTTTAGGATCAGAAATCACCTCTGTTCCAACCGCTTGGGTCTTCTGTAGTTGTTCTTGAAATTCCTGAGACGGAGGTACCGGAATGGGCTCCACAGCCGTTGGAATCTCGCCTTCCTCTCGGACTTCCTCTCCCACTGAATCCAGTATTTGTTGCTGTCCTACGCTCTGTCTCGTTGAAGACCGGTCATGTACATCCCGATGCCCATCACGTGTTTCCTGATACCCATCGCGTGTATCCTCTCGGCGAAATGTGCCAAACCCCGACCCTTCGCCATCGATCCTGTGATTTCCCCTTTGTGCTGAACCTCTCTTATTTCCCCGTGCAGCCACCTTCACCCATTTGGATTCAGCATCCTCGAACATTTTACCTTTTCACTTCCCATAATATTCTCGGGCATCTCTTTCCCGATGCTGCTGATTCCCATTACCGTTTAAAACCACCCCTCTGTAGCTTCGGGCTCTCTCCTCATGCTTGCCTCCCTCGTGCCACCCACCATTACCCTCTCTGTGCTCCCTTTTGCTCTCAGAACTCAACTGCGTCTTCTTCTTTAAGGGACACTTTTCATCCTTATGACAGAGACTAGAGCACACCTCACAGTATCCAAACAGCTTCTCATAGCGTAGGGAAACCAGAGCCTCCTGTCCATCATAAAATTCTCCTCCTTTGAACTCAATCGTAGTTTCAAAGATTAACTCCTTGAAAGCATCCACCACCACCTGAATACGAGAGTGTTCCAGGTCAACCGTGACTGTTCTTCCAATAGCATCTCCGATGCTTTCAAATCTCGGATCAGTACGAAACTCCATTGGTACACCCAACACTTTAATCCAGAAAGTGATTTCAGATGGATAGAGTGGAGACCTTTTTGGTTGCCAACGAGCCAAAGAAAGCATCCAATAGTCGAAATGGAAAGGTTGTAGCTTCAGGACTGCCTCAACATCCTCATCCATTTCGAAAACAAACTGGAATTTTCCAAATCCCAAGTCTGTGCCTATAACCCTCTCCTCCAGTTTCCAGATCTTCGGAAGGTTTGTGAGCAGAGCCTTCATGTCTTGCTCATCGGGATTCATACATCTTCCAATCACCGTTTTGGAGTAAGTTTTGATCAACGCCGAGTTGTCAAAATGAGCTACAGAAATCTTAAGCCTTTTCCGTGTTCCTTCTCCATTCCCCCATTCACCACTTTTACCCAACAAATTGCTCTGTGACATGATAACCAAAAGAGAAAAATGACTATTAAGTTGCAGAGAGGTTGTTTGTATGTCACAGGAAAGAAAAACCAAACGCGTCTTTATATAGTGAAACCAGAGGTTGTTATTCTCCCACCGAAAATATTCCCCAAGATTCCTAAATCTCATAGAGTTAAACCTATTATCCCATCGGATTCGTGATACATCGATACCAATTTCCAAAAGTGAATAAACTTTCCAAGGTCCAACATTACCAAATCGTGTGAGGAATTCCCAAATCTCCTTGATGAGAAAGAAAAATATTGGAATAAAGAGAGCACAATTATTACCGTAATCAATCTTCAAAATCTTTGAGAAAGTAATGTCTGTCAAAAACCATTCCCGATTAGATCCATGACCCCGAGGACATCCTGATGTCTCCTTGTTTGAGTCCGATTTGATTCTGTAGAGATACAGAAAGAAACAGTTTCCCAGATTCCCATAATCATTCCTTGGAGAAGAATCCTCTTCGTTCCATTCCGTCGCCACAATTCCGGGATCCCATCGTCGCGAAATCATAGAAACCCTAGATCGCCTTTAGGTTCGCCGTGTGTTTGGTTTCTCAGACAACAACCCAAAGAATTTAAAAAAAAAAAACGACAACTATATGATGATTTCGATATGAACATTTTAACTCTTAATACACTTTTCAATATCAAGGATAACCTCTAACTCATATTTATTTGTATGTTATTATTATTAACTAAACATTTAAAAAGCTTATAAGGCAAACTTTAAAATTTTATTCAAAAATAAATAGTGTGGATATACCACTAGTAAAAGGAGCACTTTTCGTCATATCAGAATTAATAATAATGTTTTGTAAGTTTTAAACGTTTAATTTTGTTGATATCTTTAACGATGATAATTTCTTATATAAAAATAACAATGATTTTGACACTATTTTCATTAGCGATATAGCCAAATATGTTGTTCTTAATAATGATATGACAAAGAGTGTTCAAGTTAATGGTGATAATGTTTAAAATTATTTATTTTTATGAGAAAATTTAATAGTTTTTAGATGATTTTTTTTTAAAAAAAGTTTTAATTTGCAAAATTTACAATTTAAAAACTTTGAAGTTTTAAGATTTTTTGTGATTTTTATTAAATTCAATTTTAGAATTTTTTCTGTAATTTTCGAATTTATTTTAGGTTTTTTATTGTTAATTGTAATTATTAATTAAATAAAACAAAAAAAAAACAACATGTGACCTACTATTGTAGGTTAACAAGTCACAATTTTAACTTGACAAACAAGTGAGCCAAGTTGAAGGTTTTTTGTGATACAAATGTCAAGTTGAATGTTCAATATGCTAGTTAAATAAGTTCAAGGTTTAAAGTGCTAATGAGTGTCACTCTGAAGGTTTTTTATGCTATTTTCCCCAATATATACATGACCCATCTTGAGATTTTGAAGATTATAAATAATTTAGCTAAAAATTAATAAATTAAAAAAACTATTTTATTATATTTGCGTTATATATATATATATATATATATATATATATTAATTTAAAACAATTTAGAAGTCATATGCAAAAGTTTCAGCTCAGTATGAGTTCTGAATATTCAAACACTTATGATTTTACCGGGAAAACTCTAGCTGATGCTGAAACCTGCACATGATTTTAAAAAAAACCAGACAAAAGAATCAATCACATCCTACTTTCTGAAGATCAAATTGTAAAAATAGTATAACTGTAAGGCCAAAACTAAAATAGCTGTAAATATAAAGGACATAAAAGAAAAGATCACTCCAGAAATTGACTTCTTCTAGTTGTAAATTGTAGTTGCAAATTGTAAAAATAGTATAACTATAAGGCCAAAACTAAAATAGTTGTAAATATAAAGGACATTAAAAGAAAAGATCACTCCAGAAATTGACTTCTTCTAGTTGTAAATAAAACTACTCCTGCCTGAAACGAAACAGAACTCATTCTAAAAAATTTCTTTCCGCAAACGAACATCACCATTTCACACAACACATCGTACTTATCGCCTCTTTCGATTCACCATGCAATCTCTTCAACCTTCATCTCTCCGTGCCTCCCCACCCAACCCACTTCTCAGACCTTCAAATCGCCAATCTCATCACATCACCAATGCGAGACAACCCACGAGAAGACGCACATTCATCTCCGCGTCATCCTCCACCGTCTCCTCCGCCCCTAAACGCGAAACAGACCCGAAGAAACGGGTCGTAATCACCGGAATGGGACTCGTCTCCGTGTTCGGGAACGACGTCGATGCTTACTACGAGAAGCTGCTTTCCGGCGAGAGTGGAATCAGCTTGATTGATCGATTCGATGCTTCAAAGTTCCCGACACGATTCGGTGGTCAGATCCGTGGGTTTAGCTCTGAGGGTTACATCGATGGGAAGAATGAGCGGAGGCTTGATGATTGCTTGAAGTATTGCATTGTTGCTGGGAAGAAGGCTCTTGAAAGTGCGAATCTTGGTGGTGATAAGCTTAACACGGTACTACTCTCTTTAGATTGATCAAAGCTGGAAACTTTAAGACTGATTCAGTTTAAATTTTGTATCTTTAGCTATGAGGTTGGTTTATCTTTGATGGGTTTAAATAAAGTTTTCAACTTGTGGGTGTTCTTCTAGATTGATAAGCTCAACACGGTACTCTCCTAGATTGATCAAATTTCAAATCTTTATGATTGGGTTTGAAGATTAGTCAGTTTAGGCATGAGGTTGGTTTATCTTTGATGGGTTTAACCAAAGTTTTCAACTTGTGGTTGTTCTTGTAAATTGATCAGAGTTTAAATCTTTATGACTGATTCAGTTTAAAGTTCATATTTTAGTCATGGTTTCTCTTTGTTGGGTTTAACCAGTGTTCTAAAAATCGGTTTGGGGGGAGGCCTGGTGAGCAAATTGGACCTAAACTGTACTCTCTTAGATTGATCGAAGGTGGAAAGTTTAAGATTGATTGAAGATTGTTCTGTTTAAAGTTTTTATCTTTAGACATGAGCATTATTTATCTTTGATGAGTTTAACCAAAGTTTTCAACTTCTTGTAGATTGATAAGCAGAAAGCAGGAGTACTAGTTGGGACTGGTATGGGTGGTTTGACTGTGTTTTCAGACGGTGTTCAAGCTCTTATTGAGAAAGGTCACAGGAGGATTTCTCCTTTCTTTATTCCTTATGCTATAACCAACATGGGTTCTGCTTTGTTGGCGATTGATCTTGGTCTTATGGGTCCTAACTACTCGATTTCGACGGCTTGTGCTACCTCTAACTACTGCTTTTACGCTGCTGCGAACCACATTCGCCGTGGTGAAGCTGATATGATGATTGCTGGTGGAACTGAGGCTGCTATTATTCCTATTGGCTTGGGTGGTTTTGTTGCTTGTAGGGCATTGTCACAGCGAAATGATGATCCTCAGACGGCTTCGAGGCCGTGGGATAAACAGAGAGATGGGTTTGTCATGGGTGAAGGAGCTGGTGTTCTGGTATGTACTCTCATAGTTGGCTCTATGTTTGGGTCTTAATGGAACTGTTGGGTTTGTTACACTGCTGTCTGTAGCTGAGGACCTATTCTATGCTCTAATAGGTGATGGAAAGCTTGGAACATGCGATGAAGCGTGGTGCTCCAATTGTAGCAGAGTATCTTGGAGGTGCTGTTAATTGTGATGCTCATCATATGACTGATCCAAGAGCTGATGGACTTGGTGTCTCTTCATGCATTGAGAGCTGCCTTGAAGATGCTGGTGTGTCACCTGAGGAGGTAAGCAACATCAAGGGTTTCCATTCTATTACATGTTACGATTTCTACTTATATTCATAGCCTGTGACTGTCTGAACGTTCTTTTCCAGGTAAATTACATCAATGCCCATGCAACTTCTACTCTTGCTGGTGATCTTGCTGAGATTAATGCCATTAAAAAGGTATTCAAGAGCACTTCAGGGATCAAAATCAATGCCACAAAGGTTCGTCTCAATCTACTTAATACTCTATTTCTTGTTATTGTTTTGCTTTGCAATTCCTTTAGTGATAGTTTTGTGAAAATGCATGTTACAGTCTATGATAGGTCACTGCCTCGGTGCTGCTGGAGGTCTTGAAGCCATTGCCACCGTGAAGGCTATCAACACTGGATGGCTGCATCCCTCTATCAACCAATTTGTATGTATTATCTCTCTATTTCTCATTGCTTTCTCTGTTTTAAACTCTCAACACTCTGTTGTTTGTCATTGTAGAATCCAGAACCAGCGGTGGATTTTGATACGGTCGCAAATGAGAAGAAGCAGCATGAGGTGAATGTTGGTAAGTAACTGACCAGCCTTCTTGTCATTGTCTTAAACCGACAATTGTTTCATTTGATAATGAATGTTTTCTTCTTTGGTTGCAGCCATATCAAACTCGTTTGGGTTCGGTGGACATAACTCAGTCGTCGCCTTCTCCGCCTTCAAACCCTGATGTCGTCAGACCTTTAGATCCTCAGTTTCCATCTTTTAGGTCACCACCATCTTCTTCTCTGCAGCGTCTTGGTTCACAAGTTTGAGCTCCTTTCAGCCTTTTTATTTTTATTTGTCATTGTTTTTGTTTGCTCAACTCTTAATCTCTTATTGGTCATTGAGGTGTTGAGAATTCAGATTTTGCTTCTCAATCCCTGCACGGAAGGTTGTATCTTAGTTCGTTTCATATTTTCCTAATTTTATAAACAGAACCAAGAATATTGTAGTAAATAGTGTTAGTATCGGAATAAACCCAGTTAGGGGATCTTTCATCCTTTTTTTCTTCTTTGTTTAAAGGGGATCTTTCATCTTTTTTTCTTTCCATCGAGGAATTGTATTTAATCACTAGGGTGTAAAAACAGCAATTTAAACTTTGGTGTTTAATTAGCGGTAGGGATGTACTATCTGGATTTTGGTTCGGTTTTCTCAGTTTTTTGGTATTTTGGTTTATAAAATGAGTTACCATACTAATATCACATACATATTGATTTGGTTTGGTTTATATACCATTAATTTTTGGTTTATTCGGTTAATACCGAAAACTATAAAATATTTATATTTTATATTTTGTAAATTTCACTGATTAGATATTGGTTTTACTAAAACACAAAAATATTCAATTGTTAAATAAAAATATTTTCTTTTATTTTTATTTTACTATTGAAATTAATTAATAAAAATATTAAGTAACAATACTAATAATTTTTATAAACTAAAAATAAGAAAAATTAATAACATAATGTTATTAAATAACTAAATACTAGGATAAGACTTGAGCCTTGCGCAGTGTGAATATATGTAATTAAAATATAAAATTTTAGTATTGATAAATTTAAAATTTACATATAATTGTTTTTATATGTATTTAGAATTTTAGAATTTTTATATAATTGTCTATATGTATGATCAGAAACAATTGTAATTAGAACTGTAGATAAAACCTTAAAATTTAATGGGTCCAATTCATATATCTTTTTACTTTTCAGTGTTCGAGTGATGAAAAATAAATGTAGTGTCATATGTCTTAATTTGTAGATCATTATTAAGTTCCCAAATGCTTTATTAAGAAGCAGTTGGTAGAATATTTGCATTTAGAATATATAAAGTTTCAAAAGTAATTTAATATAATTTATTTATTTGTCTAATAATATCAGAAAATTATATTTTTAAAAATTTTATTTTTAAATAAAAAAATAATTTATTTTTAAAAATTATAACTATGTTTAAAATAAATTATTTACTCATAGGATATGAGATATATATATATATATATATATATATATATATATATTAACATAAACACCTATTAAAATAAAATTATTTATTCATATGATTTTATAATCATTATAAATTATTATAGAAAAAAATTAGACCTTGAAAGCAAAAGTTTATGTGAGATTTTTAACAGTTTTAGTAATTTATACTCGTTTTGAAAATTTCAAAATATAACATATATAAAAAATAGAAATTTTTATTATATTATTAGTGTAGCTGTGTAATTTATTTTAATAAAAAAATAAACAAAAATGATATAAAGTATACAAAATGTTAACAAATCTCTATTATTTAAAACCATTAATAGTCATATATATCTTAATCACATTAGATAATTCTGTACGTTTTATTTAAAGAAAAAATATATAAGAGATTTAGTCTAATATGTTATTTAGTTTGATATGTCTTATATAAAACTAATGGACTTGGTTTTAAAACTATGTTTTATATAAGGTGCTCTAGAATTCTTCTAAATAAAATTTAGAAACATAGAGAATTACCACATAAGATGAGTTTTTTTTTAATTAGTACAAACTTAAGGTTATAAATTTTTAAATGATCCTCAATTAATATATAAGGGAGTAAGATACATATTTAAAAGTTATGTCTTATTTAATTTGATAAAAATGGGAAAATAACTTTTAACTTAAATTAAAATAATAAATTACTAAAGTCAACATTTTAATTCTACTACTATATTTTAATTAGTCTATTATTCAATTTAATAGGTTTATATGCCAAACTATATCCATATGCCATGGGTTTTTAGAAATAACATTCATTTGGTATATTCAATATTACTAAAACCAAACTACTTTCTTTCTTTTGGTTCGGTTCAATTTTAAATAGTTAGGTTTTATCAGATTAAACACCCTTATAATGAAAATCTAACAATTCAAATCATAAAACTAGTATTTTTTTTTGTAACATACACTTTCAATAAAACTAAACTCCAATGTTTGGGGTAGAGAATACAAAGGATTCAGACAAGAGGGTTGCTTAGATAGAGAATCTGCATCTGCTTAACATAAAACTAATTTTATTAATATTTTAATCAAAAATGTAACAGATCATGTTTCTTTGTAGCTGAAATGTTTGAGGACTGGTTGTTTTTAAAATATATTTTTCGTTAATAAATAAGAAAGTTAAATAAATAAAAATAAAGAAAAAGATAAAATAAAATTAAAAAATATAGAGCATAACACAAATAAATTAGCCTATAGAAGTTTCAAACTGATGATAGTTTTTAACATATTTGTCATTATTGACGATTTCAAAGATATGGACGGTGATAATTCTGCCGACAGAAAAAATGGTGATCTGTTTTAGGGGTGGAGTCATTTCATCGGTTTGGTTTGGTTAATCTGATTCTAGAATTTTTTCCAACCGAAGTAAAAGTTTTGGTTTGATTGTATTCGGTTTGGTTTGTATTTTGGTTTGGTTTGTATTTTCGTTCGGTTTAGTCAGATTTCCTTAGTTTAATTCTTAGAAAATAAATCATGTTTTAAAACATAAATGCGTAATCATGTAATCATCATGTTGGTGACCATGATAAAAATAAACTATGTAAATAAAAATCTAATATAAAACTGAAACAAAAAAACTTTAAAGAATACAAAAACTTTATACGAATACAATCGAATCAAAATTAGCAAAACTAAATAGAAAATTTAGAAAACATCGTTTATAATGCATCTTAAAAAGGGTCAATTGCGTCAAAATCCTAAAATAAGTAGATAATTAGGTGTATACCCATATCAAACAATGTGTGGGCTTTAGAAATTCTGTCAGATATAGTACATGTAAAGTGTCCTTTCTTTAGTTATGATTAGGAATTTAGAGTAGGATTGGAAACTAATAATGGTTTTAAAGTTAATTAGGGGGAGGGTAGTAATGAATAGACTAAGTTATATCCCCCACAATTTTACGTGAACCGCCATACGAAATCTCTCATCTCATGTTCCTCTTCTTCCTTCTCTCCTCTCTTATTTTGATTCTTCCATGAAAATTTTGGGTAATTTTTTAATTCTCAAAATCACACCAGATCTCGTTTTCTGTACATATCAGTTTAGACAACATCCTGTAGCGTTTATTTTTTTTCTGGAATGGGGTATCTGGACCTAGCGATCGTATTCCAAACATATGCAGGCTGTTGAAACTCCAGCGAGCGTAGGAGGTTTCAGGTCGATTATATTCCTTTAGATTTACTCTTAGAACTTCTTCTTTTCATGTCTCTGCATGTGAAATTATATTATATTTGGACTGCTATTTCACTTTTTCGAATCTGGATATACCATGTCTCATGATTGATTCTGTTTGCTCATTTGTTTAGAATCAGTGATGTTCAAACCATTTTTCTCTTACATGACCATAGGTTTTGATGAACTGCCATCATCGGCATATGTTTTTGCTACTACTCAATTATCCGGCTAACATTACGGTTAGCTGGAATATACTTTGACAAGTATTCAGGTATCCGGCTAACACCATGGTTAACTGAATAATAAAAACAAGAACCATCGGTCAAACTACAAACTTGTACAAGAGGTCTCTTTAACTTCTTGAATTTTCTTATAAACGTTTATTTAAGATGGTTGAACTGTAATAACCTTTATGTTCCACTATAATCTTAATCTTTCTAATTTTGTTCTATGTTTTGAAGGAGAAGGGTCAATGCGTCCATTTTTGGCGTGCAAATGGGAAGAAGGTGATTGAAGAATGGCAGTCTTGGCCAAACATTGGGAACAACCCAACTGGTTGGGGGAAAAGAGAAGTCGTCTGAAGGGAGTGGGATCGATGGTGTGTGGAGATTTCTAAATCCAAGAGTTGACTTGGCCTTTCTATTGTACAGATGTATATAGACAAGCTTAAGCAAGAATGTCTTTTTGATGTAGTCTCTGGAAAATTTTAGTCTAGTTAAATTTATTTTTGGGATGATAATCTTTATTGTAACCGATGAGGGAGTGTTTTTACAAAATTCGCTATAAAATTTTTTAGTATCGTTTACTTTCCCATTTTTAGCTTGTTAAATTTTCTTGTAACCAATGATGTAATATATTATCATGTAATGAAATTGTATTATTGTTAAGTTGTTGCTTATACCATTTAACTTTCGTAAGATTAGCATCCCAAAATTTTACAAGTATGATTAAATTCAAAATTAGCCATACATCAACCTTGTTTGGTTAGACAATATATAAATAAAAGGAATAAAGCGTTCTTGTATGAGGGATGATTCTTACAAAACCGGTTATAAGTAATTTTAGCGTGGTTTTCTTTACTTTTAGATGGTTAAACTTTCTTGTGACCAATGATATAATATATTATCATGTAACTAAATTTTTTTATGGTACAAGTTTGTACCATTTAATTCCCGTAAGATGAACAATCTCAATTTTTTACAATTGTAACTTTCTTTTGTACTACTTACAAGTGTGATTAAACTCAAACTTTAACATATATCGGCTTTGTTTGTTAGAAAATATGGAAACTTATTACAGAAAGGAAAACTTAATTTCCTATAACCAATTGATGGTGGTTGTTACAAAACTGGTTATAAGAAAGTTTAGCATGGTTTGCTTTCTCTTTTGACTTGTTAAATTTTCTTGTAACCAATGATGTAATATATTATCATGTTATGATATTGTTTATTGTTTATACCATTTAATTTTGTAAATTTTACTATGGTATTAAATTAGTATTAGCTGGTATTTAATTAAAATGGCTAATAAAAACACAATCAAACTAAATGTGAAGCACAAAGTAACAAGAGAATGCTAATAACAAGTAACAGGGACTTCTTTCTATATCTCCACTCATCTTTTACGCTACATACTGGATTTCCCAACTAGATCAATTTATCCTCAATCTAATGCTTTGTCAAACTACTTAATTTTCTTCACTCAAACTCAAGAAATAATTACAGAATGTATCACATAATTTTCTTTAGTTATATACCACCACTTTACTCATGATATGTTTATAAAATACTAGGTAAAACCCGCCCTACGGGCGGATAAGCATGTTATAAGCAATTGAAAAAAATTCAAATTCTAATAAACATTTGATATTTTCAATTATTTTTTGTA